GTCAAGCATGCCTTTAATCCTAGCACACAGGAAGCAAAAGTAGGCAGACCATGAATTAGAGGTCAGTATGGACTACACAGTAACTTCCAGGGCTGGCAGGGCCACATAGTATGATCTTGTCTAAAAAAATCAAAGATCTTAATAGGTAAAGAAAATGCATTTGATACAATTCACCATCACCTAATTTTAAAATCTATGAATGAAATGAGTACAGTAGGAAAGTAATTCAACATAATAAAGACTGGATATGTTTGTTTGTTTTGCTTTTTGTTTTAAAGCCTGCTGAATGGGGAGAAGCTGAAAGCCTTCTCATTAAGATCTGGAATAATGTGAAAGATTGCTACTTTCATCAGTTTTATTCAACATACTATTGGAAGACTTTGGCAGAGTAATTAGGGAAAAAAAGAAATAAATGGCATCCAAATTGGAAATGAAGAAGTCAAATTGTCACAGCTTGTGAGTGACATGATGTCATATGTAGAAAAAGCAAAAATGCAAATGCAGTCAGCATGACATCTACAGAAATGCTACATGTTAATATTGATTTACAAGTGACAAGAACAATTCCATTTTTAACAGCTACAAAATTTAGGTACCTAGTAATAAATTCATCCAAAGAGGAAAAGAATCACTACAAAGAAAACTACTAAAAATGATGAAAAGTATACAAAACCAATTTTCACAGATTGAGAGAATTACACATACCCAAAATCTTCTGCAAGTTCAGTGTACACTTTATAAAATGTAATATGAGGTGTGCATTTTCAAAAGTGCTGAGCAAATTGGATACTAGGAATGAAATTGAATCAATAGTTATCAGTAGTTAAAAGATGCAACTCAAAGTCTTAAAGAAGTTAGGGGCTTTCATGAAAGAATTGAAAGTACAAAACTACTAGCAAAAAAACTAAGTAAACACTGATAGGACGTAAAATGGGCAGGATAGAGAAAAGGAGAAAATCTTTAATACCTATATCTCAGATAGGAACCTAATATCTGGACTATTCAAATAATTGAAACATTTGAAACACCAAAATACTTTCAAATCACCCAATTCTAATGGATCAACAATGACCTAACTACACATGACAGACTAACAAATAAAGAACCCAGTTCCAAAAAAAATGGGCTACCTGTTTCATTTTTGTTAGACAGTGAGATTCCATAGAATCTCTGCTTAATTTGACATTAAGACGCTATTGCTGAAGACACCACATGCTTGAGTCATAGAACACAGAAAAATCTAGCTGGTATTCAGCTGAAAGCTTCACTCCTACTTGCTAACATTCATAGTGCCTCAAGTTGCTATGCACACTACTGGAGGAAATAAGTAATCATCAATATTATCTAGCTGTGAACCTTGTGAGCTATTATATTGACTGGAAAAGACATGCCCACTGTGAAATAGTATAAACATCATGGAAGAAAACAACTATGTTCTGATTGGACATTTAAGTCCCAGTGTACAAAATGAATTCCATACCTGGTATCATTAGTGGGCAAAGAACATATGGCTACAAAAAAGAAACTGCTAGTATTTCTTCTGCCAAATGGACATATTAAACCAACTTCTAATGATTTCTCTTTATACAACAGATTAATGCATGTATCAACCATCATCATAGAAGCTTCTGTGTGCATTAGATAGTAATTAGCAAAGAAATTCACAGCTGGAACAAGTGGTCTAGGTGCAGAAAATAAGAGTATTCAGAGTGTTCAGCCCTAAATGGAATATATATAGAACATCACCTCTTCCTAATATTCAGGAACAATTGTGGAAAGGGGAAGATAAAAAGTGTAAAAACCTGATGAGGTAGATGAAATACTATCTTTGGGACACAGCAGGACAGTTGCACATATAAACCTACAGTGATTAAGACCCATGCACAAGATCTTTGTAAGTTCAAGCCAGACCAAATCTCAAAACACAGTGAAGAGCTGGGCATGGAGTTCCACCCTAGCTGAGATGTTGGCAACTGACCAATACACATTGGTTCTATTCCATTAGAAGGTCACACATCCAAAAACATGAATACTCAAATTGGATGTGATATATATAGGAAAAAATACACAAAGTTGGATGAGTAGGGGAGGGGATTGGATATTGGAGGATTTGCTGGAGAAAGATAAATGCAATCAAAACACATTGCAGAAAATTCTCAAAGAACTCATAAAATATTTAAAATGTATACTCTACTTTTCATGCTTATTATTATTTGTACTATCTAATGATTCAGTTTTGTTTTACTCTACCCACTAACGGTGAAGACTTGAAACACAGATTTCAGATTCTTTTCTGATGCATCTATCCTCTTAGCACTGCTCTAAAATTTCTTTCCATGAAAAATGTTTAATTTGAACTTTTTAGCTCTTTTTTGACTCGGTCAATTATGCAAAATACATTCATATCATTAAATTCTAATTCAGTTACATTTGGCTAAAGAACAACCATTGTGTATTGTGAATTTCTGTTCTGTTTTGATAGTAAAACTGGACCAAAAGTGACAGGAAAAGATTTATCAAGAAAATACTTGTCTCCCAAGCACAAGGACTTGAATTCAAGCCCCTCCCTCCCCTCCTCCTGCTCCCCCACCTCCCTCTACCCCAGTGCCCATCCACTCTTTCTAGAGTTTGTGGCCTCCCACAGGGAGTCAATAAAGTCTTTCACATCATCTTGAGGCAGGACCAAGTCCCTCCCCTGTGTGTCTAGCCCATTCATGCACTAGGGATAAAAACTGGTTCTCCTAACAGTGGCCCCACAAACTGCCCAAGCCATCCAGCTGTCAGACTTATGCAAGTTCCCAAGCTATCCATCCAGAGTCAGTGAGCTCTCACTTGCTCCGGTCATCTGTTTGTGTGGATTGCCATATCATGGACTTGACTCCTTTACTCATATTATTGTTCCTCCCTCTCTGCAACTGGATTCCAGGAGTTCAGCTCAGTGTTTAGCTATGGGTGACTGCTTCTGCTTCCATCAGCTGCTGAATGAAGGCTCTAAGATGGCATATAAGGTAGTTATCAATCTCACTACAGGGTAAGGGCATTTAAGGTAGCCTCTCCACTATTGGTTAGATTGTTAGTTGGGGTCATCCTTGTGGGTCCCTGGACATTTCCTTAGTGCCAAGTTTCTCATATGTTACCTTTGTTCAATTGTCTGTGGACAGTTCTCTGGTGTACATTATCTCCTTCCACCACATAGCTTCCTCCTCCTTTTCATTCTACCATCCCTGTTCAACAACTCCAAAAGAACAAATTAAAAAGCAGTGGTTCTCCTCCAGTATTTGCTACTGAAGCACATAAGCCAGAACAAAAAGTATCCTGTTCTTCCCCCAGTGCCCTACTTCTCTAAGTCTATAAACTAATATGTCAACAACTTTATTCTTTCCCATAATCACCCATCCAGGATTAATACAATGAATGTACTATCCTACACCAGTACATTATTTATGTCACATGACTGTCATGTAGACTTATTTTAAAACAATTAACAAAACCCTGAAATTATATCTTTTAACTCATTTAGTAAATGTGTATTTTGATGGTAGGAGTGTAATAAATCTAAAAATTGTTTGAAGATGTAGTGAAAGACTGAGCAAATATAACAATGAAAACTACTATGGGGGGCTAGAATTAGTATTATCAATATAAATGTACTACATATGAACATCTGTTTTGATATAGACATGCATATACCTATGCAGTTATTCGTATACAAGTGTCTGTAACTATTTACAGGTATGTATATAGTGTGTCAGTGTACATGTGTGTCTACAATTTTCTACATTTTGTTCACTGAAACATACAGAAACAATGACACTGCGGTGTCATAGCAAAGAGAACACCTAGAAGTCAGAATTTAGAATCTCATTATAACTCCTTCTAAAAGAACTGTTTTGAAAAAGTGACTGATTGGTAAGCTGAATCAGGCAACACAAAAGAAGTCTAAAATGATTCATGACTTTTAAATAATTGTTCAAAACATGGAGTGAACATATCAAAAGAAGACAGAAGCCAAACTGAAATGATTCAGAGTAGGCAAATATGACAAATTGAAAGCAAAATTATTCACCAAAATGAATAACATTGTTTTTGAATGTGTCAAGTAAGATAAGAAAATTCATACAGGTGATTAGCTACTTAACTAAAGAGAAATACACATGATGATTTAGTAATTCCTTCTGAAAAATATAGAGGAACAATAGATTTGTAACCATCACTATCACTATTTAGGCAAGGTAATTAATAGTTGTTAAAATTATTGGATGTAAGTTAGAAGAGGAGCAGAACAATCTCAATATTAGCACTTTTGCATATGTTACCCATAAGTATAAGTCAAAAAATGGTAATTTTGGGTGCATAACCTAATAGACATCAACATTTAAAATTGAACACATACACACACACAGAGTCTTTTTCTTGAATAATTCTCCCAAAAAAGATCTAATTAGCTTGTGTGCTTTCATTTTTCAAAATGGAATGAAGGAACATCATAAAGGAGTAGCTATCAGACAATAGGTTAAAGAGTTATGGTGATATTCAAGCCTGGATGGAATCCAAATCAAGGGATATTGTTTTAAGGAACATTTTGGTTATAATTAGAAAATTTGAATATGGAGCACAAATTAGGAATGAGTAATAGGTTAACTTATATGTTTTATTCATGAGATAATTCCTTTGTTGAATGGAGTTATATATTGAATTCTTTAATAAAAGGACATAGTATATGTGACCATCTATCATATTGTTTGGGGAGAATGCAAACACATATACTACTTGCATACTTGCCGTTCAACATAGCCCATACAATAATATATTTGTCTTGCTTAATGAAAACATACAAAACTAGATGAGAGGTCACTTGCTGAAATGAAGGATTAGAATGAAATTCTAATGCTCAGAAGGAAGAAAGTCAACTGTACACTAACTCCCTAGGACAACAGAAAGCACCTTATTACTTTCTTTAAGAGGCAATATCTTAGCAGAGGGCTTTTAAAATAACTGACCTCCAAGCCCAGGTCGAAGTCGGTTATCATAGCCATCCAGAAGCCGATCCAAGATTCTAGTGAAAATGGTGATGTTATCAGTGCTGTCATCAGGAATATCTGGAGCATGCTTGGGAGAGAGTCTGCAAGGAAAGTAAGAATTCTTAATAGGCAACAATTACATGACTAACCATTTAAATTCTGGAAGATTTCACTAAATAGACAAGGCAAACTTAATAGCTGTACATCTTGACCTGCAGAGCAAGCAATTTCTTTTTGCTACAATAATTGACTGTGTAGGAAGAGAACAATACTCAACACTTGTACTCTTCCTTATACATTTGCATGAAGTTTGCCGGGTACATATTCCAATCTCATCTCAGCAGCAGAAAAACAAGCAGAAATCCTGGACACAATGTTTCTGGGAACAATACCTGGCAGACATTTGATTGCTCAAATTAAAGAAGATAAATGTTGTTATTGAGAACTTACCTCCAGTCTATCATAGAGAGACATATGATCACAAAAGAACAGAGTCATAAAACCTGGGATCACCCTCATGTCCCACCATATAGACACAGTAACCAATGCCAGTAGAAAATGCAGAGTGTCTCTTTTATCTCATACATGCACAAACAAGCTGAGACAAGAAACCAAATTTTCTCATACTTATCACTAACAGAGGCAGTGATAAGACATTCATGTAAAACTCTCAAATTTTCTACTCCATCCTACTTCTTTTATTTGGATGCCTTCTAAAAGCGCTTCTGAGTACTAAATACTATGATAGATCTTTTTACTCTGTACAAGAAGAGCTTGGTGTTATTACACAGAACAAGGATTGTTGTTTTGTTTGTTGTTATAGATGTTTTTCCTAATCACTAAATAATATTCCAATGTGTAAATATAACACACTTCCTTATCCATTCCTCACATAATGAACATTTAGGCTTTTCTCATTTGTTAGTTATTGTAAATAGAGAAACTCTCATTTGTTAGTTATTGTAAATAGAGAAGCAATAAACATTGATGAGCAGTAGTCATCTTCTTAGTGTGAAATAGAGTCTTGGAGTATACACACAAGAGTGGTTTAGCTGGATCATGTGATGGATTTCCTTCTAGCTTTTTGAGGAACATCGACAGTGATTTCAATATTTTTTTCATAGTGCCTGCAGCAGTCTTTACTCCCACAAACAGTGAATAAGTGTTACTTTTTCCCCCATTCATGCAAGTATCTGCTTTCATTTAAGTTTTCTGAATTTGGCCATACTGACTGTGGTAAGGTAAAATCTCAAAGTAGTTTTAACTTGCATTTCCCTGATGTGAGATGTTCTTCTGTATCCTGAGAATATGTGTTGCTTTTATTGGTTGTTGAATAAAGCTGTTTTCGTCTATGATAGGGTAGACTATACCTAGGTAGGAAATACAAACAAAGATACAGAGAGAAAGAAGGCAGAGTCTAAGAGATGCCATATAGTGTCATGTAAAAGTAAATTAGAGTCTGGCAGACTTCTCAGTGAAGCAGGAAACTTTAAACTGTATGCCTGTATTGGCAGATTGTCAGTCATTTTTCTCTGTGTCCTGCCGACTGTCTGACAGAGGCTTTGATGAAGCAGGAACCCCTTGGGACTGTCCCATCTTGTTTTTTCAAGTTTTACCAGTCAATTTCCTGTGGGTGTTACATGTCCAATTTGTAAAGCATACAACTAAACAGTCCAGACAAGAGAAGTTTCTTGCCCAAATCACTAGTCTTATCATGTTGAAGGAAAACTCCATATTGAATTTCTTCAATGCCCATCTTCGTGTCTGAAGTAATTGGTGTTGCCAGGAGCAATTGTGTCTCACTGTCATTAAAAACCCTAATAAACAATTTTAAATGCCACATTCTGAAGGTCTTTGAAAGGTTTAAAAAATGTGTATCTATTTGAAATGTGGATCTCTGTGATTTTGAGGTCAGCCTGGGCTAGAGAGCTAATTCCAGGACAGGCTCCAAAACAGTACAGAGATACCCTGTCTCAAAAAAGCAAAAAGGAAAAGAAAAAAAATATATCTATATATATCTAGAAAACCTAAGTAACATGCTTTTAAGATAGGTGACTATCTATAATCTGTCTTTAATTATACATTACATTTTAAATGAGCTGTGTAAACACAATACATAAACAAGAGGAGAAATATATATGTACATATAACAAAGTTTACCTTTAATTTGCATCGATAAACCAAAATACATATCACTGTATTCATTTTTTATAACATATTCCTTTTTTTTTCTTTTAGAAAGAGATTGACTGTGGTTATTAACCATTTATAATTAACCCAATTTAAATGAAAGCAAACATTTACAAACAATATTTTGGGAATATTCAGTCTCATTGCATCTTGTTATGCTGTACTTGGTTGATATCCCTGGGAGACCTTCTCTTTTCTGAAGAGAAATGAAAGAGTAGTGGATCTGGGGGAGAAGGGAAGTAGGGAGCGGGACTGGGAGGAGGAAAGGGAGGAGAGGCTGCATTTGGGATGTATTATATGAGAGTAGAATTAATAGTATAGAATAAAATAAATCTTTATTTTGAGAATTTCATGTATGAATACTGTACTTAAATTTCCCCATGTCCTCTCTATTCCCTCTCAAATCTTTGACTATTTTGTTATTTAGAATATGATATACATATAAATATATTCTGCTAAGTCCATTTAGAGTTACTTATATGTGCAACTATACCTAAACACTTAGGATTGGTGATGGGAGCTGTCATTCTGTAAATATGTTTTTCATACTGGTTGATGAATAAAGCACTGTTGGCCAATAGGAAAGGAAGATAGGAGGGACTAGGAGACAAGGTGGATTCGAAGAAGAAGTAGGGAGGAGTCAAGATGGAGAGACTGGAGAGAACAGAACACTGGCCCCACTCTCCAGTAAGATGAGACCACGTGGAAATACTCAGATTAATAGAAATGGGTTAATATTTAAGACAGAGCTAGCCAATAAGAAACTAGTAACTGGCCAACAGAATTATATCTAATACAGCATCTCTGTGTGTTATTTGGGAGTGGTGCGGCAGTGGGGCCAGACCAGCAGGGAAAAACCTTCCTCTTAACAGATTGGATAACCTACTAGGGAGACCTCATCCCTGAAGAAGACTAATTCTCCCTCTCTCAGCAGCTATTACTTGTCTGTAGCTCTCCACTTATGAATAGGTCCTTGTGAGATGTTCCCCATCCTTGGTGGAATGTCAACTTCATGGCAAAATCATATTCTTTACTGCCACATGGTGGTGGCACACACCTTTAACTCCAACACTCAGGAGGCAGAGGCAGGCAGATCTCTGTGAGTCTGAGGCCAGCCTGGTCTACAGAGTTAATTCTAGGACATCCAGGACTGTTGCACCAAGAAAATCTGTCTCAAAGAAATCAAAATAATAATACTAATAAAAATCCTTACCTTGGAAAGCTTTCGGGGGAGCGAGCAAATAACGTTGCAAGTGAGGACTGTTTCTTATTTTCTACCCCAAAACTTCTAATAATGAAATGAGAAGCCTTTATAAAAGATGTGTATTTATAGGCTATGAGAAAAAGTTTACGGACCATGTACAGATTAAGTACTGGATATCGGTACCACCAGTATTAGTTAAACTTCATCAAGGATCAAGTGTGTTTCCATTCAGGGAAAGCAAGAGAAGCACAGCTGCAGAGTTGCTGATGCAGTTCATACAACGACCCAAAGAAAAGAGAAATGCACTTCAATAAAAGAATATCAATTTCCCTAATTCTGCATATCTTCTAGAAAAAAAAAAATAGACTTCTTAAAATTTTCTAAAATACTAGGCATATCATATATATCCCCTGCTCTTAGGCACCAATAAATCTTGAAGGCCTACCAAATAGAATTCCAGTTCCTTTGTCTGATATTCATATCATTCTATAATATGTTATGACTTTAGTTTACAGATTTAAATTCTACTTTACTTTGGGATCAGAAATTATAGTGAGGTCAATTTATTTCATTTCTCAGTGTCCTCATGTTTTCCATTCTCCAACAGTAGTATTTTCCATAAGTGTAAAGTCAAACTAAAGATTCAACTCTAAGAATATTCATTATATATTATTCAGTTGGTAATCAGAAGCACTTTAAGTACAATTGCACACATTGTGTTATCTTTACAGAAGGTATATCATAAAAGTAAAGTAAGACTGGGTTTTGTCTAGGACATGTCGACATAACCTATTATGGTCCTTCCAAATGTTCATATTTTGAAGGTTTTGCCCTCAGCTGATGATCATATTGAGAAGTTATTGCCCAGTGAGGAGGCTAAATTTATTATGTGAATCAATAGATTATATTATGTATTATTAGGAATTGGGGTCTGGTGGAGAAAATAGGTCACTAGAAGTATGCCCTTGATGGTGTGTGTGTGTGTGTGTGTGTGTGTGTGTGTGTGTATGTGTGTGTGTGTGTTCTCTATCTCTCTGTTTCTCTCTATATTGCTCAGCTCTGTTTCTATTGTGTGTGCCCACACATTTTTTGTTTCCTGGAAACTGTGAAATAAGTGGCCTTTTCCACCATATCCTCCTGCTGTAATGCTCTGATTCACTATTTACAGGTACAGAACCAATAGAGGCAAGTGACCAAAGACTAAAATCTCTAAAATTCTCAGCCAAAATAAATTATTCTGCTCTTAAATTGTTCCCTTTGGTATTTTTTGAAAGAGACAAAAAGTGACATGTGATCTATATAAAGAAGACAGCTGTTCTTTTCTTAAATAGCTTATACAGACTGGAAAACTAGAAAATCCTCAGCTTGAGACACACCCACTCAACATCTGCCCAACCTGTTTACATTAACTTGATTTTCATGCTTATTCAAAATAAAGACCAAGACCTTCAGGCTTTGTAGGCACTTCAAAGTAGTTGCTGTACAAAATCACAAAATCTGTCAAAAATCAATACAAGTTATTCATTATTACAAGAGTTTCATGAGTCAACTTCAAAGTAAATGAACAAGAATTCAGTTCAAAAGTATGACACTTCATATGAATTGGCAGTTATGTTTTCGGTTCACTTTCATTTAAATTACTTTTCTTTCAATTACACACAGAAAACTCTTCTACCTTTTCTCCTTGTTTTGGGGCTCTAGAAATGT